AGGGCTTGCTGGAATGAACTCTTCCTGCCTGTATGGGCTAGAAAAGGAATACTGGCTTGCTAGGACAGTTTTGAGTTTCTAGTTTTATTAAGGAATAGCAATCTTTGTGCCCCTTTAGAGGGTGCCAAGTTGGGGAAGGCTGAGAGATAATATGCATTCCTGATTGTTAAATATTTGATCAGTTATTAATTTGTATTCAGGCATTCTTGTTCCATGGACTGAACAGTATTTGAATAAGCAGGATGTAAATAGTTCATTGATTCAGTAAGTTATTTTGAGTAATGCAGTAAGTTACTTTGAGTGAATACAAATGGTGCATGAAATGTATATTTAATTTTTAGTAAGTCTGGAAAGGCTAATAAAAAGTAATGAAGTGTACATGTCATCTGGCTGCTTATGTTTATTTTAGTGTTCTTTGGTATTTCATCTTAAATCAAGGACAAAGGCTGCTCTCCTATACATATTTACTTGGGACTAAGTCTTGCTGAACTCAGGGGAAGTTACTGCTGAGTAGTGATGCTTATGATTACACTCTAAGGGTGCAATTCTGTGGTCTTCTGACATTGCCTGGGCAGGAGATTCTTCAGCGCCTCATCACTGAGGTCCTCCAGATTTGGTACTTGGCCAGCGAGTGTGGAAAGGAGCATGGCAGTTGCCTCCCTCAAGGTCACAAATGTGACCCAGCAAGGAGAAAAGGGGTCATCCTGGGTGAGGCAGAAGGGAGGAGGCTGGGGCTGAGAACTTAATGCTGATTCATGCTGCCACCCTAGCCTTCCTCCTTCCTCCTCAGTGCTTTAGATGATCAGATATGGCCATCTAGATAAAAGGCATGGGGCAAAACACAGTGGTGGTGATCACCATTTGTAAACTCCTGAGTTCAGAGATTTGCATGCATCTCTGTTGGGGGCCATTGGATTGGGTCCTAAAGCAAGTGAAGGGATGAGGATACATATGCAATAATTTGGTGTGTTTCTTAGTGGCTGTCAAGGCATAAAGAACTTCACTACCTGCTGTTAAAATGGTAATGATGGAAGTATGATGAAATAAGAAGACAAGTAGCCTTTATAATTCAATTTTTTTGCATCATGATCAGTCAAGTCATGGGATTATAAAAGCTGTCCAGCTGCTTTAAATTGGATGATATAGGAAGAAATAGCTGCAGTGTAAATTAAACACGTAGATGCAGAGATGAATTGACTCCATAAAGGAAGCCACAACCTTGAATTTAGAATAGCCAAGCAGAAAGAAAATTTTGGAGGGCTTTCATTCATACGGTCACCATAAGATGGCATTGACTTGATAGCACATAACAACAACACAACAACAGATGCAGTTTGGTTATCCAAATCCTAACTTAATATTTTCTTACATAAATTGTGCCATGGATTCTGTATATTTAAGTTTCCATTTTGCTGCAAAGAACAAGGTATAAACCATAGTCATGTTACAATGTAGTTCATTAACTGTTAATTCATCTGTTAGCTGTTAATTGCTTCTTATGTGCATTCCTGTATTCCAGGATCATGTGCCATGTATTGGAAAAGGAAACTGCAAGTGCAGCTGATTTGCATACTACCTTTATGGAGTACTAACCAAGCCACATAATAATGCAGATTTGCAATAATAAAAGGTTATTGCTAACTGCATTGTGAGGATTAACTATAAATTTTTTCTTGAATTTCAGAAGAGGAAGTATTGTAGATGAGAGCTGTGTGATTAAAGAAGAAACAAAGACAGGAATTTGTCTTCAATAGAGTCAGACCAGTGTTGTCTAAAGGAGACTAGCAGTGGCACACTAGAATTTCAGGCACGTGTTTTCCTTCCCTACCTAAAGATGCTGGGAATTGAACCTCACAGCATCATTTAAGGCTTGTGTTCTATCACTGAGCTACAGCGCCACCTGAAGGCAGCTCACAAACAAAACATAGAATGCAAATAGAAAAACTGTACAATTGCACAGTTAAAAGGAGTTGTTTAGAACAGGACCAAGCCTGCACAGACCTTTGTTTCACAGATAAAAGCTAAAAGGGGCAGTGGTTTTTAAAAACCCAGATCAGCACTTTACAAGCAGATCAAAATGTGGACATTTTAAAGGCATGTTAAAAAGTTAATAAAAATGCAGCTACATTCTTTCTGGAATTAGTTACAAAACTACAGAAGCACATCTAAAAAGGCCCTCACTTGTGTTCACTAATCTAATAGATCTTGCTGGAAGGATTGTGAAAATATATTGAAGTCCAATAGCCTTGGGGGTATGCAGTTGTTCCACCTCCAGCAGCTCAGGCAGAGAGAGGGAACAGGGTGGATAGAACACTTAAAGTATCCTAACCTCTTTTATGTTCTCAGTGTCAGTTACAATGCAGACACTTGAAACTAGCAGACCATTGGTCAGGATGCAAAGGAGGTCACATGCTGAAAGACCACAACTACAACCACCCAGTCTCCTTGTTCCTTGAGCCAAGTTTGGTGCTATACTTGTTTATTTTAGTGGATAAGCTTTAATTCAATCTGGTTTCATTTTTGCAGGTTTCTCTCTGTGATTAGAACTTCTGCATTTTTAAAAAATATTGTTACAAAAAGTAGCTAAGGGTCTGAACTGGATCGCATTTTCACTGAAAATGGGGAGACACATGTTTCATTCCATGGGACAACTAATATCAGGGCAAGTTGATTTTGATAAAGAAATGGTACTGGGAATGGTGTAGTATAGTAGTTAAGAGTTTAAGACAGGGGCTCAGGAGATCTGAGTTCTAGTTCCTGTTCAGCCATGGAGCCAACTGGGTGGTGTTGGGCCAGTCACAGACTCTCAGCCCAACATACCTCACAGGGTTCTTCTTGTGAGGATAACATTGAAAACAGGAGGAGGACAATTATGTTCCATGAAAGGATAAAAGCAGGATATAAATATAATAAATGAATACATTCAAACTGGGACCCAGGTTTGATTTGGGTCTCCTACACTGTATTTAACTTAAACCATAAAACTGTGTGTGTGTGTGTCGGGGGGGGGGGTTCATCATAGATCTATTACTTTGTCTAGAAAGAACCTTGCATAAGTTTGTTTTCTACAACCTCCCATTTTTTGCTCTCTGCTCCACCCACTTGTCTGGTCTCCAGAATACAGGCAACAAAGGAAAGATGAATTTGAGCTGAAACTACTATATTCCTAGAGTGATCCAACTAGTTTGTTGATCTTCCCTAAATGGGAGAATTGGTTTGTCTTCTTAAAAGTTGAAAGGCTAGGATTTTGAGTCCCAAACAATTTATTAAAACAGCAGTAGCTTTGCTTTACCAAAGTCAAGGTCTTTCATAAACTTTTCCATAAGAAAAAGCAACAAGAGTCTGATGTGGTTCTGTTGTTACAAGATAAGAAAACTGGTGATGCAGGCAGTTACATTTCTTTATTTTATAAATTCCTGATAAGGACAACTTGTTTCAAAGTCAATTCAGTTGGAAGTTAATTAAAAGAATCAGTTATTAGTCTTTAATGTGGTCATGTATAACATATTTAGAATTTATTTTCAAGATGCTGATGGGAAAAACAGGAAGATTAAAATATATTTGGATAATCAGGATACAATAGCAGTTTTGTAGAGGAAGCATCCTTGTTTGCTAAATATGATTTGTCCGTTTTTTGGGGAACGTTTTTTCCTCCACCTGTTACAGATAACAACCTTGAATCTAGCTGTGGTGGTTTCAATGGTAGACAATCACTTTTGAATAAATTACAAATGGAAAGGCTTTTCCCAAATAAAAAATGCAGATCTTATTCTTGTAAAGCTGTCTTCCAAATCTTGGCTTAATAACTCAAGACTGGGATCCCATCAGTTTTTTGCAACTTCATTTAGGTGACATTTTTACCCTTGATAGCATACAAAGAAAATATATTCCCACCACAGGAAATTTAGTGGTTGATCCTTCCAACATTACAGGTGTATCTTTCAATTGCAGTAAAGTCATCCTTCAATAATCTTTGCTCATAGTAGTTTTACAATTATATATTGTAATATTCTTGTCAGAATTCTCATATTTCTTGTATTGAGTCTCCAAAATTGCTCAAGGAACACACTGTTATTAGCTTGTAAGAAATATGATTGAGGTAGGTAATTTCATTTATTTCCAGTTATTACATTTTTATACTGCCCGATAGCCAATGATTAAAAACTTAGATAGAATCTGTGTAAACATCTGTTAATGAAATAAAGTTTGGACTCTTCCTAAACTGGACAAAACTGGATCATTTCCATGAGTTATTTGCATTTATCCAGTCTCTTGCTTGTACCTTGTTTTTCTCTAAGTGAATCATAGCAGAGAGCTTAGCTATTATTTTTATTCATTTTCAAATGTTTATGTACTACTTCCTGGGTAAAACATCCTAAAGTGATTTACCAAAATTATAAAACAGCACATCTTTAACAAAGAACAACTGTGTTAGAAACAAGCTAATGTTTGAGAAATGTGGAGTGAACAAGCCTTCTAACTGTTGAAATCAGTGCTTGACATAATGCAGAGGTGGTAATTCCAGAAGGTGGGCATTATTACAGAGATGACACCTCTCTGGCAGCATAGTTGCCAGAAGGGACTTTGAAGGATGTGGCAGAGATAACAGGGCTTCCCCTAAAAGTTATAGTGGCCTATATATTAGTGGCCTGTATATTACAGAGGAAGATAAACTTTCAGGTAACCAGGCCCCAGGTGTTTTAGGGCTATATGTGTCAATAGTAATACATCAAATCTGGCTTGTTCACAAGCTGGCAGACAAAGTATTGTTCTTCCAGCTCTGGTGTGATAATAGATTCAGTCTATACACTCAGTATGATACCATTTTTATTTTAGTCTCTAATATCAATGTATGTGTGCCTGAATTCTTTCTGCCTGCCTGGACCTATCAGCTAGCAGCTGTGATTAACCAGAAGAAAATATTTGTTGTGACAGGTTTTGCTTTTTAATCTGAGGGGAAAAACATATTTGGCTTTTTCTTTTTTCTTTTCATTTTTCAGTGCTTTGTGAAAGTGATGGGAGCTTCTTCTGTAGAAGTGGAATTTGCATTCCAGGAATACTACAGTGCAATGGCTACAATGATTGTGATGACTGGAGTGATGAGGCGCATTGCAGTAGGTCACTTAAATGCATTATATAATTTTTGTCTGGAAGGAACAACACTTCAATTATTCAAATCAGCTATTATGTCTGGGTAAAAGCTTTGCCTAGTACTTACATCTGTCCACTTCTGAGCTCTTTCAGGAATCAGTGGGGCCTGTTTATCTTTGCCCGATATGACTGGAAAATGTGCTTGTAGACCTTTTAAATGTGCTGTTTAAAAAAATGAGTTCATTAGTAGTTAAACAGCTAACATTTCTGTAAAAACACACAGTTGTTTTTAAAATATCTGAGTAATCCTTGCACAAAGGCTATCATTGTAAAGTGATAACCCTCTTAACAAGATTTCCATTTATATGCTTTTGGCAATTTTGTTGGCAGCACATGCAAAACAACCTGATTACAAATTATTTTTGATTTAGCCTTGAAGGTCATCAGAAAAATATTTGTACATAAACAGGGTGCTATGGAAAAGAACATGTGCTTTCTTTAGTGTATGGTGCATTCAACCACTTCCTTTCTTTATACAGATGAGAAACAGTTAAAGGCTGATTATATCTGCTACTCTTAGTAAGTGAGCACACATAAGCAAATGTTTGTCCATCTCTTTATCTTATGAAGGAGAAAATACCTCCTTCAGGACTTGAGACCTACCAGCTTTCCTTAGAAGCAGAGAAGTTGGGAAAGCATTTTTCTACCTCTCCCTTTTCCTCATGTTTCTGGTGACGAAAGAGCCCCCATTAGTTCCTCATATTCACCTTCAGTATGAGCACCAGTGCTGACACTGGTGCTAAAAATATTGCTGCAGGCAGTTTGAGCTTCTGTGTGCTGTTGAAGCAGCATTAAGCTAGACTATGGGCAGAGCAGTGGTTATTAGCCTGTTGTGTGGTAATATATGATCCAGACTTGTCTTTCAACCCACACGAGGAGCTAGAAGGTGTAAGAAATAACTTATAGGAAGGAAGATCTATTTATTGCAATGAATTTCTGGGTTCTCAAGTGTGGAAGAAGCAAGGAGATGATTATTACATTTCTCAAGGACAACCATAAGAGGTCTGGTGGACTCTTGGATCTGATTCCCATGATTGCCAGGTTTTTTAAAAAATGGCATCTGTTAGCATAAGCTGCTGTTTATTGATTATTTCATAGATGTTTTTATACTGCTTTTCATTTAAAAAGAACTCTGGAAGTGGTTTGCAAGATAAACCCTAAGTATAATAAAACCATTAAAAGGACAAAATAATAATAAAAATAATACAGTCTCGTTAAAGTAACTATGGCTAGCTGAGGATCCACATGTTCAGGGAAATGTGTGAGCCAATTAGTGTGTCGATGGTTGTTGGCAGAAGCACTCCACCTAATCTTTGTGGGCAGGTGATTCTACATGGTGGTTGCCACAGCTGAGAACACGCTCCTGCCCACCATGGCCAGGTGTAGTATGGTCAGCAAGCCACCCCTCTCAGAGTGAAGGAGAACCTATATGAGGGAGTGCAGTTCCTCAGATAACTGGGTCCTGAGCTTCCTTATACACCAGGAAAGTAAATGCATGCTAAGAAAGTCCACTGAGCAATCTACCAGCCACATTCTGCAATAGCTGCAGCTTCCGAACCAGTCTTCAAGGCAGCCTCAGGTAAGGCATGTTGCAAAATTTTGTAACAGAACCATGAATAAATAAGAGGAATAGATTACCACTGAATCAGTATAAAGGAATCCTTCCTACACCTTTCCCTCAATAAGAAAACTTTTCATAGGCCTGGGGGAGGGCAACACATGGCAAGCTAATTAGCTTGTTCATAAACTTGTTCGTAGTGGTTTGGAACCACTTCAATACAACATTGTTTTTCAAAATTTAAACTGGATTTAGGAGCGAAGGGGGGGGGAGCAGGGGGCACATATGGCCCACAAGCCCACCCCCTCTTTATGTAGAACAACTCTGTTTAATACTGATTGATGGAGGTAGAAGGGAGTAGGCGAGGAAAGTAGTCCTTTATATTTATTCAGTGGCAACTGATTTGGCTTCAAAATCTTTTAAAGGATGAAAATTGACAGCTTCACAAACACGATAACTGCACAGATCTGTCCTTATCTGTTAGCAAGGAGGCAGGTCATCATGTCTAGTTTGGCTCTGTTACTCTGCCCCATGAAAGTATATGTGTAAATAGGAATTGAAACTGTTCTGTGACAGACGGGGCAGTCAGAAAAAGTGGCAGGCTTTTTAAAAGAATGAAAACAATGCAAGCATTAAAATACTGTCTCTTTGTTACAACATAGGTATGGATAAAAAGATATCTCTGTTTACCCTTTAATGCCAGGATACCTCATGTTGATGCAGATTCCAGGCAAATATTAATTCCAAACTTCACTGGGTTCTGCATCACTTCATATGAACTATTTCAAGATCACACATATTTTCATTTAGTTTATAATATTTAGGATTTTATGTCTGGCATTTCCTTTCCTTTCCTTCTTTGTGTTCTTTCAGAACCAAGTATAGGTAATTCTGTAAAATCTAGTGCTGTGTGAACTGTTACATTCCCTACTGCTCAACAGCACTGGAAATTAATTTTAATATGATTTATTGGATAATATTTTGACTTTGGTCTTAGGGAGACATGGATTGAAACACATTTGAACCATGAAACTGAAGCAAGTCTGGACAGGAAGGAATAATTTAGAACGGATAATTGGTTTAAACCTTTTGCTGCCTATTTCTTCTATCTTGCAAATTATTTTCCCTTAGTACTTCTTCCTAGCAGAGTCTAAATGCATCCTTGTCCTCAGAATCACATGACTCGGTGGTGGCAAAAGTTAATTGGAGCATCTTGGACACCCCATCCTTGCCTGATTATTTCCTTAAGCAGAAAAACTGTGGCATGTAAAAAATGTCACATGCATGCGTGTATATATAATCTTTAGTTAAGCACTCATTGGGTGGGAAATTCATTTTCTTTCAGCTCTATGTTCCCTTAAAGGGTTGCTTTGAGAATAAAGTGGGACAGCCCCAACTAAGATGCATGAGTTCCTCTGGGCATAGTAGTTTAGTAATAAAAATGTTGTTCTACTAAGTCCTCAGTAGAATGTATAGCAGAATTTCAGGTAGGTAGGAAGAATTAAAGTTAGATAGAATTTCAGTTCCTTTCTGTTTCATCTAACTAGCAGACATAGGATATATTACACAAAACAAGCACTACCTGATTTATACAGGTGATAAAACTTTATTTTTCTTTGGAACAGAATTTTTATTTTCTTGTCCTATTTAGCTAAGTATGGACAAAACTCTGGCTAAAGCCCCACAAAGGTCTAAAAAAAATGCATACTCCTGTCACAATTAGTTGTAGATTATATACAAAATCCAATGGGGTTTCCCTGCACAAGTTTCTGGGAGCCAGTATGGTATAGTGGTTAAGAACATGAGTCTGGGCCTCAGGTGATCTGGGTTCTAGTTCTCACTCAGCCATGGAACCAACTGAATGATTTTGGGCCAGTTACAGACTTTCAACCCAACCCACCTCACAGGGGGGTTGTTGTTGTAGGGATAGGATTGAGAGCAGCAGGGAGTATTATATAAGCTGCTTTGGGTTCTTTGTAAGAAAAGGGTGGTATATAGATTTAATGAATAAATGATAAATCAATAAATATCCCATTGTAGGAGAAGGGATTAGGGTGGCTACACTTCTTCATGAGTAGAGGATCTGTGCCTTTAATATTTCCATTGTAGTCAAACATCTACAGGAGGTATTTATTTTTTATTTATTTATTTATTGCATTTGTATACCATTCCATAGCCAAGGGCTTTCTGGGTGGCTCTCATTGCAAGCATGACACAGCAGTACACTACTGTTTTCTATTATTGCAGTTGAATCCAAGAAATTACTTCACTTGTTGATTTCTTTTTCTTAGGAAGCTGCTCGATGCACAGAGCCAATGTCCCTTATAGATCAGTATGGGTATAATCACTTTAATATTTTGCTTTGCAAGAGACAACCTTTTTCTGGTGCTTTACTGACTGTCCTGTTTATATAGTGGTATGTAGTTCTGTGCTGCTGTATAACTAAGACAATATTTTTAAAGTGTATTTGTTTTTCAGACTGCAGTGAAGGACTTTTCCGCTGCAACACAGGAAAATGCCTCAATTATACCTTCGTTTGTGATGGGTATGATGACTGTGGAGACATAAGTGATGAGCAGAACTGTGGTAAATAAGAAATCTTTTGTATATTCTAAAAACTTGAATGGAATACATTAAACCAGTATGGTGTAGTGGTTAGAGCATTGCACTAGTTCCTAGTCCCTACATGGCCATGAAGTTCACTGAGTGAATTTGGGCCAGTCACTGACTCTCAGTCTAACCTACCTCACAGGGTTGTGGTGAGTTAAGGAGAATGCTGTATCTCTGGAATTGTATCTGGTGTCAATCCTGTTTGGAACAGACTGATTGAAGTGAAATGAAATTTAATAAGTTCTAACATTAGATACAGTTCCTGGGAACTGGAAAAACAGCCAGGCTTGAGCTTGTTGAGTTTTTTTGAATTCACCTGAAAGCTTCATCTACCTCAGTACTGAATGCAATAACATGCATTTTGTTTGAATACTCTGGTTTTGTTTGCATTCATCTATTCATCCAAGGGGCACAGCTATTGAATATGCTAACAAATCCCCTTCCACCAGGTAATTCTGGTGATTAATATTAGAATTCTAGTGACTAATACTAGAATCCCCCAAAACATTTAGATTGTATGTAATGCAAATGATTTATGATCGGATTGCTTGATATTTATCTTTTGACTTGAATTTAGTGTAGCTGAAGGGAGAAGTGCTTCAGATTTTATCAGCACAGTGGTTCTGAGGAAGAGATGCCACCATTTAGACACCTTCACCAGGCTCTGCTGCTACCCTCCTTAATGGATTTTTTGTGCTAAGAAAACAGATGGAAGAACCAGTAGAAAGACACAGGGGGATTACGAATGGACAGTGGTGTTGTCTGGGCCCCTTAAAAATTCTACAAAGCAAGGCGATTGCACAAGTCCTCATCTGGAAGTGCTCATTGTACCTGCTAATCTTCCTAATCTAAATTGGAATTTTGTGCGTGCATGTCCTCCTTCCGGGTGTGTGTGTGTGTAGTGGAGACATTAACAGCATCTGGAGGCAGGTGGAGAATAAAACTTGCTTTTGGCTTGTCAGCTGCTGCGGTTGCACTTGCTGACTGAACAGTTCTGCACAGCTGCCTCTCGTCCTACCGTTCAGGTGGTTGCTGAACCTTCTGAACAACCGGAAAAGGTAGCAGTGCTCTTTAGCACTCTGGTTCAGCACTCTTATTATCCAACAGACCATTGTTTTCACTTTAAGATATGACTTATCTTAATTAATCTAACGTGACTAAAACAACAGCTGGACATCTCAAACTTCCATTTAGGCACTGACATAGTTCAGCTCTTTGCATATTTTACCTTGCTGACTTCTCTCCCAGACAACCTAAGCAAGTCCAAACCATCCACTTCAAGAATCCATAATCTGTAAATGAAATTTCTTTTAACCCCTATGATACTCTGAACCTCCTTATTTTTACTACCCTAATCATAAGACTGAACTGACTTTGTAATGGTAGACTGATCTCTTGAGCAAGGGCCAGGCAGCATCAGTGGTGGGCTTCTCTTACCACACCTGTAGTGATAGCCAGTGACTGGAGTACACGACCATAACCACAGCAGTGCCATCAAGCACCACCATCATGAGATACCGATGTCATTGTTCTGAGCAAGACTGCCAGCCAGTTTCTTTGCCACTAGTCAATGACATTTAGAAAACCAGCTTCCTCTTCTCTAGTCTGGGTGACCTGATGTCCAAAAGCTGGCAGGGCATTTTTTAAAAAAACAATCAGCTGGAAATTCATTTTCTAGCAACCTTATAGCAAAGAAAAACTTCTATTCACCATAAATTTTGTATTTTCCCCTTCTTTTTGGGAAAGGAATTAATTTTTTTTAATTAAGGAAACATTTTGTTTCAAACTTCTTTGTAGTCATTATTATTAGTTCCTTCAAAACTGCCAGCAGATGTGCATGTATCTCAATAGGTGAGGGACTTCTGCACCTAATCTTCAAGTTACTGTTTTTATTGTTGCTTTTTAATTGTTATCACTATTATTCTATATTTTGGGGATTACACCACCATGAATGTTTCCCTCACCTGTTGAGATGTTAAAATCTGAGTATCAAAGAAAGCTTTTCCAAGGGAAGCTATGCAGTGTTTCCATTCTCTCCAGTGAATCTGAAAAGTCCATCAAAATATCTTTTTTCTGAGTACAAGAAATGTTATGTCAGCTGAACAAAACTTTTCATAACTAGACAGTTTTTTGTTCCCCTTCAAACCCACTATTGGTATTTAAATCCACTTCCTCCTTATGTTAATACGATATTTTTTGGTGAATACATAATAATAAGAAATTGCTTTTCACAAACTCAACAAGATGACTCACCATCTAAAACTATGCAATTACATTATGTGATTACTATTATTTAATTACCTTATCTTCTTTTGTTTGTCTGCAGTGCTTTTATCTTGGTCTCTCTCTACTTTGACAGTTTCTGGACTACATAATTTCTCCACCAACACTAGTTTGATGTTCTACAGCTATTGCCATAATAGTCTTCCAGATGCTTGCAGGAGATTTCAAATGATTTGAGCAGTTATTTCTCATGTTGCTGTAATTTCTGATATGCCTTTCTCCTATTTGAGCCTTTGTGATTTTATCTTTTTTCAGCAGCTTTGACAGTCATGTAGCTAATAGCATATATGTGAGTGCCTTCTACTCAACAAATGTCATATTTCTCTCAGGTGTTTTATAATCTATCTCTGGTGGCTGCTTAACTAGCATCTGAACAAGGTGGTCTACATAGTTTTTATAAATAAATAAATAGTGGGATCCCTATTGTATGTAGATAGAAGCTGAGTGATTGGTTTTGATAACTTGCTTTGGCACTTTGATATTCCAATGGATCTAGTTTTCAAAATATACAGGGAAAAAAATCACATCTTGGCACATGTAAAATAACTCTGATTTCTCTGACCTTAATGGATCCACTTACCATGGCATAATTGAAAAAAGAACAGCATCTTTCACTTTGTGTTAAGTATATTTTAAACCCGGTTAGAAAATGAATAATGCAAAGAGTTGTCTTTGTTCTTCCTGTTGGTCAATTATGTTCTTGCAAAGATTGTAATCCAGTAACTCAACACCGATGTGGAGATGGGAGATGCATAAAAATGGACTGGGTGTGTGATGGTGACCACGACTGCATGGACAAATCAGATGAGGCAAACTGTTGTAAGTGACCGAATTATGTAAGTCCTGGTATCAGTATTTTAAAAGCAGTGGGAAAAAATTTCAAGAAATAAAACCTGAGTATAGATAGATTTCTAGATTTTCTTGTGACTTTTATTTGAAATTTAGTGTGCAATTGAATATGATATAATTTTATTATAAAGAATGAATTTACTATCTCATTGAATTAATAGCCTTGGCTATACAGTATTGCTTTCCTTTTAATTGTTACTAACCAATTGTTACTATATTATCTAGCTCCTGCAATATCTTTATTGAAAGGCAAATAATACATGGGCAGCACAATCCAGTAGCCCACTAAATGGGCTATCTAGATGGGCATAGAGGTTTTTGAATTCCCAGCTATGAGGCTGGAAAATTACTCTGACCTTGAAGCTGGATATGGACATATTCACACCAGCTACAGCTTGGAGGTTGTTAGAGCAACTTCAGAGAAGGGCATTCTGGGGCATTCCAGAGAGTGGGGAGGGGAGGGGAGGGGAGGGAAAGTGTGGAAGGAGACCAGCAGACCAGATAATATGTATCCTTGCAGTGCCTCAGCTTCCTTCCCTCTTGCTCTGAAGCACCATGCTTAGATGGGCAAAATCAGAGGTATAAGTGCTCTGAGTAAACATTTCCTCTATACATCCTCTGCCCTTCATAGGATACCTGTACAGGTTCAGTGGATTACAGGCACCCTACAGAATTTATTTATTTATTTATTTATTTATTTAAGACATTTCTATGCCGCCCCCATCGCAACAAAGCCTCGGGGTGGCTCACAACATACATAAAATACAATCAATAATTTAAAAACTGGTACCATCTCGGTTATATATTGCACCTTAAATAAGTGTAACACTGCCCCTCTCCCTCTCTCTGTGTGTATATAAATGTGAAATGAAGAGCCTTTATAATACCTTCTTGGCAGTGTCTCATGCCATTATTCTTGTTTTTCCCAGCATGCCACAGTCAGGGACTGGCGGAATGCAGAAATGGACAATGTGTTCCAAGTGCTTTCCAGTGTGATGGAGACAATGACTGTAAGGATGGAAGTGATGAAGAAAACTGTAGTCAAAGTAAGGGGATGCCACATGTCCTACAACTTGCAGTTGAAAGTAACCAAAGCCTTGTTTTGGAAAATAGTTATATTTGCATATTTTAGGGGATAATAAAGTTCTTTTGTGTCTAGTAACTGACTGTATCAGTCAAATAACATTCTTTTATTACTGTCCGTCTCTTGACTTTTATCATTTCTTTGAGCCTTAGGCACAATTCACTGGACATGTTCCCTATGCAGTATTATTACACAAGTCTGATGTGCTTAAATAAGGCTCAATGAGTGCTGTTTGCTTTCAGATTTTGTGGGTGTAGCTGTTTCATATCTTTATGTTGCAGTGCATTTCAAATTGTTCTTCTGCGTTTATGTGGAAGAACAAACAACAAGCTCTTTAAGATGAGGATTCTATCTCATTGCTGCTTATGGAGGAACAGGAGGAGAGTCCATTTCTCTCTCCTTCACAACTGTGGGTCAATGTGATGCGGTGCATAATGTTTTTGGTTAAAAGTTCACATCCCTTCTCAGCTATGTACAGCTTTTTCAGAAATATATCTAAAACTCTTTAAGTAAACATGTACTTAAAATCATGTATTGGGTGTAAGTGCAACAAACATCTGCATTATGAAAGGCCATCTGTCAGAGAACTAGTATCAGTTGCAGCTCCCTGTCAGACGAATGCAGTAGCTTTTGTTGCTCTATGGATGAAAGAAGCTGCACTTCTAATGGGGAAATGAAATAAAAGAGCTAGCTTTGTTCTGCATTTCTGTACGATCAATTAAGAGGATTTAAGTATCTAGACTTATTGGTGTTGATTGAGTTGTGAGAAGAGGTAGAATTACGCTGAGCTTCTTTGCAGGTATATGCCCATTGCCTTGCATTTCATACAGCTGAATGTATGAACGGCATTTAAAAGGACACAGAAATTCTATATGAGTTATTCAATCAGCGATGGCTCTGTCCCTCAGTAGATGATACATCTGACACATTATCACCTCTTTAAGGCCAGTGTTTTCTTTAGAAATAGAAACAGAGAGTGAGGAAAGTATATAGATTAGAATTTGCTGGACTGGTGGCCTTGCTGTAATAGAAACTGGAGGGGCAAATGGTAGCTCTGAGAGGCAGGGTGAATAAAGGTCAATGTAAAAATGGATTTTTATTTAAATTGGATTTAAAAAAAAATAAAATGCTTTTTGAGGAAAAATCTATCTAAAGATAGTTTTCTATTTAAGATACCTTATAGTCCAAACATTATTCATTGTGAAATAAGTATTAGTTTTTCATTATGTAGCATGAGGCTGTATATTCATGCAATGTTTAATTTTTTTGGTGAATGAATTCTATTAATTCATTCACAATGTCATGCTGTTTCAGAGGTTTCTGTAAGAAAAAATGCCCAATAATCTATCTAGAAGATACTATCATAGCTGCTTGGTTTTCCAGTTCTCAAAACTGTGAATATGTGTCTGTAGAGATCATAGCCTCTTCTTCACAACAAAAATGTTATAAAACAAACATACAGAGTTGAGAAAAAGAGCTAAATCCCATTGTTCCTTTGCAAATCTATATATACAGAATCAACCCTTTACATCTTGAGAGCTAAGTTTCAGAAAATTCAATGAATAGAAGATTGTTCGGAGTGGAATAGATCTGCACAAGAAGCTAAGTGTGAGGAGGGAGGGACAAGCAGTAAAAATGAAAGTGTAACTTTTTGAGCTGAATACAAGTCTTTGGATCTTTTTGTGTATAGACTGAGGTTTATTATATTATTCTTTCCCTGGTTGAGAAAAGTATAATGGCAGCAGGCCATAAAAGAGGCTGAGTTTGGGAATATTTTAATCAAGTTCCTCTACCTATGGGTAAAGCAGGCACGTGTGCAAATTATGTAGAAAGCAATGATTTAAATCTAGTCTTTAAATCAAATCCACCCTGCTAACAAGTCAGTTTTTGGCAGGAAGGTAATGATTAATCCACGTTCCTCACATGCCATAGGCCAGTCCAGATTGTCTTCCCCCCAATGCATTCACCTCAACTGATAATTCTAAACAAGCCCAGGAATGCCGATCACATGGCAGATATTTAAGGTATTCAGGACTTCATTAAGACATGTAAGTCATCCATGAAGTCAACAAATTACAAACATGGATCTGTAAGCAATCGTGGAGAGCCACAGAGGTGGTCGTTTTGTCTGTTTTAAATAGAAAAACAATTGCATAATAACCACCATAAATATACAGGACAAGCTGAAAGGGTAGCTAAATTGTAAATAAATCTATAAATACACTGGCTTAAGAAATGGCATGGAAGATAACAGTGCATATGTGAAACTGGAAGAAGTTATGTAGGTTCTGTGGTGTTCAGTCTGTGCAATGTACGAATGAAATTAACTTACCACATAGCTGAGTGGGTAAAACAGCTCCCTATCCCTATGATCCTTAAGGAAATGCAGTTAAGGGATAGGCTGACATAACTACCGTCATCCACTTTGTGGAAACAGAAATCCAATACATGGGTCCCCATGGATGCATGTACAAAACTGTCCTAAGATGTGGTATTTATAGGATTTCAATTTAGGCTGTGCAATGATTAACAGATGCTAGCTTTCTAATTAATTGCAAATGGAGCTCACATAAGAATATGGAAGTTTCCTTTTCAAATCATTAGGAAACTAGCATCCCACAATGAGAATGCAGAGCTGAGATTTTTCATAATGGGTTTCAGTTTCTGATACCTTGAGAGTATAATTTTAGAAAGTCATGTTAAATAAAAGTGCATCTTCAAAACATTTCCACCTTAAAACTGACCCAAAGTTGTGGGATATACATTTAAACAAATAAATAGGATTCAGGATACATTAACATCTTTGTGTATGGTTGGAAATAGCAATTAGATCTTCTGATGAAGATCAGAATATTTTGATTATAACATACATATTACTTAAGTGTTGCATGTTATGTTGTAATAGCAGAGAAAGGAAAACCTAAGGGAAATTATCTACCATATCAACTTTTATTGTTTTTATGTCAGTCTTACTGATACTTTTTCATTCAAAGAATCCTGTGAATTATAGTTTGGTGAGGATGCTGAACATTTTGTTGGTGAGACAGTTCCCAGGGAGTTTTGAAAATATGAAATTAATTGAAACTGTAGACTTATATATACTCATAGAGCAGCTTTCCCAAATCTGGTGGCCTCCATTTCTTTTTTACTTCGGTTTCCATCATGCTGAGTTAACATGGCCTATGGTGAAGAATCCTGGGAGTTGTTGAAAACATCTGGAGGGCACCAGATTGAGGAAGGCTGATACATGAATTATACCTTGAGAATTTCAGATTATGAATGAAGAGTAGCATGGTAAATCCATGCAACGGGCAAAGTGATGAACTCAGAGCATGGGACAGTAAGATCATACTCACCAGGGGAAAAATAATCTGAAACGTGACCTCTGACAGCCATATTCATAAACAAATACATGAACATGACTCATATCTAGGCAATCTTCTTTGCAGGGTGAGAGGGGAAGCTTCTTCTCTTTCAGAAATGTGAATAACAGACTGTGTTCCCAAGCTAGCTGTCCTACTTTTTTCTCAAAGAGAAATCTCTGGTAAATGCAGGATTTCTATCATCGACATGCTTGAAACAGCACCAGGCTCACTTGGGCAACTACCAGGGCCGCCTACTCCTTGCCACTACTTCCCCAGTAGCACTAGCAGGAAGCATTATTGGCAGCACTGGGGATGGGTCATCATTGACACTGTGCCAAGGGTCAATCCAGTCTTCACACCATTCCTGTATTCATGACTAAGTTGATGCTGGACTTTGGTGTGGTAGAACAAAAGCTTTGAATTCACAAATAAATGGGTAAAACTGAGATAAAGTGTTGCAATTAACACCTAACAAATTATTATATTTTAGCAGTTCACAGTGATTTGGTCTGGATAATATACTGTTCCACAGTTCATTCTGGGTTATTTAGGGTTTACCCAAGGCAAACTGCAGTATCTGTGGACACCATATTACATGTGTCCTAAGAATTGTTATGTTGTACAAACTCAGCAACTGTGGGTTACGTGATGGTTACACAGCACTAAAACAGACCATTGGTTATGCAAGGGCTGTTTAACTCTTACATAACCTTAACACGACATGTTCAAAATGGCAACTGCTTACACCCCTTTGGGTACCATTATCCCCAGCATGGGTTAAACAAATAACCCATGGTGGGCTGTCTTGTTGTACAAATAGTTTCAGCATGTCCATCATTTTCCTGCTGTAGTCATTAATGAACCTAATGCAAAGCAAGAATGTTGTTATAATTATTTGTGTATTCCTTGAAAGGGTAGAATATGTGCTGACAATCAGCATCATTGAACGGTTTTTATTGTTAAGGTTTCTGCAGAACCACTGCTGTTGGTATTCTTTCTCCTACCTCAGTGCCTTTTAGTGCATCTGAAGATGAGGGAAAGAATGTTCTGTTAGGCAGGCTGTTAGGAGCGTGGTCCACATTAGTGATTGTTTGGGGCAATCAATGCTGGGAAGGGAAGAATACAGCTTTTCCCCACCTTCCGTGGAGCTCAGGTGGCTATCTGATCATCATAGATTTTTTCTTGTTCTGGAAGCCAAATCTTTGATTTCTCTATCATGCTGCACCACTAGACTGCTTGTGTGCAAGGAGACAGAACATCGAATGCTACATTTGGGCCCCTCATTACAGGAAGGATATAGCCAGGTTAGAGTCAGTGCAGTGTAGGGCCACAAGGTTGGTGACCAGTTTGCAGGGGATGCCGTATGAGGCGAGACTAAGGGAACTGGGGCTCTTCAGCCTGGAGAAGAGGAGACTCAGAGGGGATCTGTTGGCAACATACAGGTATGTGAGGGGGTGTCGCACGGAGGTGGGTAGAGACCTGTTTTCCCCTGCAGAGGAGGGCAGGACGCGCTTCATCAGAGCAAAGCTCAGGGAACCAAGGTTCAATTTAGATGCCAGGAAGTACTTCCTGACAGTTAGGACCCCAAGGGTATGGGCTTCCACGGGAGGTGGTTGAAGCCCCATCAGTGAGGGTGTTCAGAGATAGGCTAGATATGCACATGGTGGGCATGTTGTGAACGGAACCGGCTGGAGCCGGGGGTCAGATTAGATGACCCCAGAGACCCTTCTGACTCGCTCTGTTTCTATGTTTCTGTATTTTAGCACCAGTTATTGCATTGGTAACACTATTCAGCTATTACTGTATGATTTTATTTTATCCTTCTAGGTCAAACGTCATGTCAGGAAGGAGATCAGAAATGTACTTCTACTTCCTGTCCTGATATCTGTACTCATTCTTCTCCCTGTGATATGAATAATAGCCAAGCAAACTGTAGTGAGTAGGGCATTGCTTTGTGCCATTAATATCTCTTGTGCATGCTTTCAATAGCTTCATTGTTCCTTGTATTGTTGGTGATGCACTTTAGGAGTCAGAAGAAAAGAGTCCTTTTGTTTTAGTTACTTCTGATGATTATTGGTCATATGTTGAAATGGTTTGGAATAAACATACCAAAAATGAAGGTGTTTATTCATGTTTTAACATAAGATGTAACTAACATTAGTTGTGACTTCTAATTCCAAAAGAGAGATGGAAAAGAGAGATGCTAGCAAATAAGTATCTTTTTTCACCATAAAATTTTTTTTTAATGCACTTAAGTTAAAGTAATTGATGGAAGAACTGTGGTCAAAAAGGAATATATGTGTTGATTTAGTGAGATTAATGGTTCATGTAATGTTTAGATACAGTCTGCCAGGAAAAGTTCAAACAATTTCACTGGGGCAGATTAAAAGAGTGATTAAAATGGAAGAAAATGAGTTCATCTAATAGTTTTCACAGTACCAAGAATAGGTGACTCCAGAAAGTTGCTGAGGTTTAGGTGTTAAAAAAACTGGTTTAAGAAGCTTCAGAAAATCTGTCTAAATGGTGCAATCTAGATATTTTAGATAACAACTTCAAAAATTATTGACCATTAGCCATGATGGCTGGGACTAATGGGACTTGAGGTTGAAAACTTCTGGGGGGGGGGTACCAGGAGAAAGCTCACATAGGGCACAGTTCTGTCAACTGTACCCTCAGGGTCATAAGCTCCCAACTTAGAGGTTTATGAGAAGAAGAACCAGCAGCAAAGATCTTGTTTTGTGTTTCAGCCATCTAACTGAGAAGCTTTGAAGGGGGGAGGAAGGAGGATGGGAAGCCATCCATAATGCTTATAATCTTGCAGGGTGGAGCATGGATCTTCAACTTTGAAGTTGGAACACCATGTCCAGTTTCAGATCTATGAATCTGAAGCATTGTATGATCACTTAGACAATGTCCTAAAGCCATTGGATCACTCTCTTTAATTGCAAAGTTTAAGAGAAAGCAGGATCAAGCAGATTCTTTCAGAGCAATAAGGAGTTACTAACTTCTTGAGGAATTTTACCTATGATTGTGTTTTGATCAGTTCAGAATTTAAATGTTAGACTTGAATGTGATGGTAATTGGTAAAGAAATGTAAGTATAATTTCAATATGTGTTCAGTATGAACTGAATATATGTATATATTTTCAGTTAATGAAAAAGAAATGTCTATCTGCATTTGTCATTTTTTATATAAAACATGATCCACTCTATCATTACTGGTTAAATATAGAACCATTGTTTGTGTTTTAAAACATTTTTTTAACTCTGCCAGGTCAGTGTGAACCAATTACACTGGAACTGTGTATGAACCTGCCTTACAATTATACTAATTATCCCAACTACTTGGGCCATCGGACACAAAAGGAAGCCTCAATCAGCTGGGAATCCTCACTCTTTCCAGCCTTGGTTCAGACTAACTGTTACAAATATCTTATGTTTTTCGCCTGCACAATCTTGGTTCCAAAATGCAATCCTCAAACAAATCAGCGTATCCCACCATGCAGGTAATATCCGAAAACTACTTATATTCTTTAAAAACATTTGTCTTGCAGCACATCTTCCATTCAGTGTGCAGTGGCTTGTAGCAGTGGAATCCATATTGTGACAACCAAAGCCATATTGGTTCCTAGAGATATAATTGGCAAAATTTAATGATAGGGCCTTCACTGTGGTGCTTGTGGACACGAGTGTGCTTATAGAACAACCTTTGTTCCCTACCAGGGTTCCCTGTCCTTTTTTTCTAAATTGAGTTTTGTTTTTTGTTTCTGCTTTGGACAGCTGCAAACTAAAGCATCTGGCAGTGTCCTCATTGTCACTTCCTTTTCCCAAGAATTCTTCTCATTATTCTGATATAAGTGCTTTGTGATTGACCGCACTCATCACGTTGTGGTTGTTTAGTGAATTTAGCTGTCTCCGTGACACAGGTGTTTTGTGATGAATGCTGATAATTTTTTCTGACATTATTCAGTATGCCCACCAGCACCAGAAAGGTGAGGACCTCTGCATTAATAATATTACTTGCCTTTTAGGCAGATCCATGGAATTTAGGTAATTCTGTTAATGATCTTTAGTCATGAACTTCTCTGTTCAGAAACAGTACATGTCTGTATACCAGATGCTGGAGTCGAACAAGAAGAGAAGACCTTGCCCTGCCCATTAGCATTAACTGGCATTTGGTTGGCCCTGATCGGAACCAGATTACTAGATGGGATGAACCTTAGGAAGACAGTTCTTATTGGTTCTGCTGTTATTGTATTTGTCTTGATCCCTTTAATTAAACCTTCTCTAAGAAGTGTTCTTTCCAAGTTATCTGCTATATACTCAGGGGTAATCCAGTTCGCTTTCAACAGGTAGGTTGATTTGCTCTTTAATGAAACAATTTAAGTAGAGAATATTGTCCCTTCTTTATAAAGGCACAATTCATAAACACAACCATAGTGAGATTTTTTAATGAATAATGGCATAGAATATTTATTGATAATGGTTCACTACTGCTGTCTGCCCTTATTCCCACAAGTTGGTAGTACAGATGGAGCAAGTGATGCTGCACATTCAGTTAATGTCAAATTAGCTTTGAACAGTGGAAAACTAGAAGGATAACAAAGCCCTTTCACATCTCAGTAGGATGTATTGCTATCCTATTGCTATCAGTGCTACATTGGGGCATGTCTACATTGCAAAGAACCTGGCTTCTCAGTGATACTCAAAAGACTTAAATCTGACTATCCTTTCCTTAACTAAAAGTGGAATTGTGTTTCTACAATAGTATAAAGCAACTGAGCAGTTCCTGCTCGGAGAATCATCTTTAAAACATTATCTAGTTCTTGATTCTTCTTTGGAATTATAGCTGAATGTCTTGCTACTGTTATTGGTAAAGTTGTGAAGGCCTGAGGAGAGGAACTCCAGCCAGAAAAAAATTAAAGAGGAAAAACTCCTCTGCTATTGTTCTATGGCCTGATTTTTTAATGGAATTTTGGGAACTGGAAATACTTTTAAAAAAATACACACTACCACCCTTGAATGGTGATTCAGATTTAGCTATATTAGCAATGATAGCATTGCATCAGGAGTGCCCAGCTAGGTAAGTGTTCCTGGAAAGCAAACCATACAATATGCAGAGCCATGGGTTTTAACTTGGTCACAACCTTCTTGGTTACAGCTTAGAGTTTGACAAGGCATATGGAAGATTCTCTTAATCTGACAGCCTGCTCACTGTCTGAGCCACACCCCAGCCTGCATGTTGGGTGGTCCATTAATGTGGGGAGGGGTTACCAGAGCATGGTATATCCTGCCATGGAATGGACTGTTGTCATGGTTTTCTGCTCCTTTGAGAATAGTGCTGTGATACAGCTGCAGAACTGATTTGCAGGCCCATGGACCCACTCCCAGGAACCACCTCCAACATTCCTAGAGAGGGACTTGTACCACCTTCTTCTTTGATGTGGATCCATTCCAGTGTCATCTTCCACAAGAGGCAGGAAACTTTCTGCCTGCCTCCAACCAAACTGACTCCAGTTGCAACCAACCCAGAAGTGCCATATGCAAGTCATGAAGCTAGACTCTTGCCCTCCTGCAGAAAGATGCACCCCACTGGGCCAGTACAGGGTATGCTGGTCAAAATTAATGCCTTGGTGCTGTATAACATAGCCTCCCAGTTCCTCCCCACAGTGGCCTATGGCCTTGTTGACCTTCTTCCATACTCCTTCAATCTTACCTGGCTGCATGGTACCTCACCACACTTGCTGCTGTAGCAGGTCGGACCACAGGAAGAAAGTGCCTGGGAACTGCCACTGCAACTCTATCAGATCTTGCCATGCTCTACAGGTGAAGTTGAAAGCTTTATGCTAGCACAAGTTGTTTTCTTCCAAATGGATGGTGATGTCTCCTGGCTCAGCATTGGCCAAAGTTCTTTCCACAGCATTCCTCACCTTCCCAGCCATGTGACTTTCATTTGCCCCCCCCCCCCATGCCACCCCATGCTTGCCAGGCAGTGTTTGTGAGCCCAGAAGACAATGCTGTGACCACAACCACATACTGCTTTGCCCTCTCCATCTGTGACTTGAATGAAGAGAAGGCTTGTGAATACCCAGTGAGGACAAGCATATGCTTTCTAGGCTTAGGACCTCCATTGTCTGATTGCTGTAATTGTTGCCTCAGGGCCAATGCTGCTGTACAGGACTGTAGGACTCAGCTGAAAGAATACCCAGGCCATCTCTATGAAGGAGAAATGGGCCTGCTTTGTCTGGCTGAAGTGGCCTGCTACTCTGCCCACTCTGCATTGCATGGGGATTTTTTTCTGCTACCACTTCTGGTATGGCATTGCATTAAAGGGGATGCAAAAAGCTTCCGTAAACACTTTCCACAAGTAATTAGCTGTTTCCTTATTGGGGTAATTTTCAAGCAGTAGCTGGAGCACCTCCAGGCATAGTGGGATGTAGGCTAAGCTTGGGTCTTCCTTCTCCCTACCTGTCCCTCTATTTATTGTAAGAGATGATGGCATCCTGGCTGTCAAAGGCATGCTTCCTTTTCTTGTTGTTCAGTCGCAAAGTTGTGCCTGACTCTTTGTGACCCCATGGACAACATTCCTCCAGGTTTTCCTGTCCTCCACCATCCCCCAGAGTCCTCCCAACCCCACACTCATCTCTCCAGTGACCCCATCCAGCCATTTCAACCTGTGCCATACCCTTCTCCTTTTGCCTTCAATCGTTTCCAGCTTCAGGGTCTTTTCCAATGAGTCCTTCCATCTCATTAGATGGTCAAAGTATTTGAGCTTCAGCTTTAGTACCTGACCTTCTAAAGAGCAGTCAGGGTTGATTTTCTTTAGGATCAACTGATTTGATCTCTTTGCAGTCCAAGAGACTCTCAGGAGTCTTCTCCAACACCACAATTCAAAAGCACCAATTCTTCGGCACTCATCCTTCCTTATGGTCCAACTCTCACAGCCATACGTTACAACTGGAAAAGCCATATATTTTGTTGTGTGTGGGGGGATGATGTCTCTGCTTTTTAGCATGCTGACTTGTTCAAAAGAACTCAATGTCCTTTGGCGAGGCTCTTCTGAATGCAGCCTCATATTCTATAGCAGTGCTATTGCCTACCAGGGATCGGGCCAATAACACTCTGCTCTAGTGGTTAACAAGGTGCTATTCCTGCTCAGCGTATGCTAAGAAAACCATTGCCATGTATTTAGAATAGCCTGCCAGCCAATCGTTAAGTTTCTTTTAAGCCTGCCATCCATTCTAAAGCCTTGTCACTTCCTGTTTTTCTCCCTGCTTTCATCTGTAGGGAGAGAAGAAAAGATCTGCATAGAATCTATCCAGAATCCGCTCCATAATTTTGTGTGGGAGAAGTTTGCTGGGGTAGTCTTCAGTATATTTGTATGCAGAGGCTACAGGCTCCTGTCCTATTCCCACTTGGCTTGGAGGCCCACTTCTGCCAGGTTGGAACCAGATAGAGATAGCCTAACCCTAGCACACCACATACGCATCTAGGCAGGCTGGGGGTATGGGTGTTAACGAGTCAATAATGTTTGGTTAGCTCCAGGGATTCCTCTTTTGGTGAAGAGGTCTCACCCAAGTGTGAGTACTCCCTTGCCCTGTTTATCACTTGTCTGGTGCACCTGTTTGCCTTGGTCCTTCTTTTGGCCGGGGAGCCATCCTTCACTACAGCGTCACTAACTTAGCCTCTCAGGTCACATCTATTGCTTGTGGAAGATGCTTAAGCCACCTGCTCAGCTTCCTGTCTATCCTTTTGGTTGTATTGCCTTCAATGATCATCATGTATTGGTTACACTGTCACCAGCTGTCTGTTTTGTGGACCCTGTTGGGCCTGAGACCCCAAGTGCTCCATACACTTTGCCACCAATACAAGGGTGTGTTACTGCTTCAGGTCTGTGGTTAGCATGGGTACTCCCCAATATCATGCCTGGCCTGGGTGCCTTCTTGCTTGCTGCCCACCATCTTATTTCAGGATCTTCTAGGCTAGCCATCCTGCCCAGGGCCTATGGGGGAGAAGTCACTAGACACTGTGCTGTACTCTTGCTGCTTTTCTTGGGTGGCATCTCTCTCCTCATTTGCAGGCCCTCACATCTGCTGCTTTCCATACTGTTTCTGGTCCTTGGGGCTGGTTTCAGCTGGTAAGTCTTGAAATCTGTAGCCATCACTATAAGGAGAAATGCAGTGTGGTCTGGAATGAAATCCAGCCTGCTCCCAGCCTCTTCCCTTCCAGCCCATTGCACCCAATTGGGCCAAGGGAAACATGCCTGCAGGAAATAGTGTATGCTGCTTTCCCTTGCCCACAGTTTTGACCTGTGTCTTGGCACAGACCTTAGTCCTCTGGGAGTCCAGGACCCAAGCTTTGCTACTGCATTGGATAGATGACTTAACAAGCAACACTCTTAGAACTTGATGTTACAACATTTTTCAGATATTGTAGAGTTCTAATTTGGAACTCTTCAAAGCTCCCACAACATATTGGCAAGCCCTTTATGCAACACTGCCTTTTCTTGCTTCTCACTTCTCTCCATCATCATTTTCTGCATCAAATAAAAGAAGCTCTGTTGGGTGAGAAGAAGGTTGACTGAGATCCACTGGCAGTTCTAACCCATGATTGAAACCCTGGTTTATTCCATTTTATTTCACAACAGTGTTTAGTTTCATGGTGGAGGAGGAATTTGTATCTAGATCTTCCTGCTTGAAGTCCAAATTCATAGCATCCCTCTGATGTGGTTAGAATCAATATTGTTGGTCACTGAATAGCAGCTTTGTAAAAGAACAGATTGGCAGCATCCAGGTTTAGTCACAAGTCCATTTTATATAATGATTTGAATGTTTGGCATTGACAGATCTTTCCAGAGGAATCTGCAAGATGCCACGAGACATTATAAAGTGCAAATGTGTGCTTTGTCTAGTCCAAATACTTGTCATGTGCATGTCTGATTTGCAATTACAGTTTGTGGGAAATAATGATTGAAGTGTTTGGAACTATAATAGGCACTGATAGAATATTGTTTCTTAGAATAGTGTGTTCTGCTTCTGGTTACTATATCTTAGAGTTATAATGAGTAAAGGATAGACCAATTAAAAGACCATCAAAATAATTGTGACTGTCAAAAGACTTCCATCTGTAGAGACTTTTAAAAGAAAATGGTGTTTTATAACAAGTGGAACATTAACAGTTTAAATCAAATAGCTTTTATAATTTTAATGTATTTTTCTTTCTCATCTACTGAAAGGTATTTTCAGATTTCCATAAAAATAATGGCTGAAGTAGACTTTAACTATAGTCTGACAGTGTAGATTGTGGTGGGGTACCTTTTTCTGTTGAGGGCTATCCACTGGAGGCTGCACATCAGCAGTAGATAAAGTCGGGTCCTTTTTTCTGCCATTCCCTCCTTTCCCTCTCCTTCCCCACTCACCAGACCATCAGCGAATGGTCAAATCACTTTTTCCAAAGGTCTGAACTGATTGCATGCAGAGATCTTTTGAAACTAGGCTGAGTGCCGCATGAAATCAAGCCAGGGGCTGCATATGGCCCCAGGACCTTCGGTTGCCCATGCTTACTGAAGATGCTGATGTGCCTATTTTCATTAAGTTTGCTAGATTATTCTAGTATTCCTTTTATTTATTTTTATTATTAGTTTCATCAAAACAAACAACCCTCTGAAATGAGCAATTGCTGATATGTGAATATCTGAGTAACAGCTTAAATCCAGTTGTACCAATTATACATAAGCTTCAGCATAGACAAACAAAATATCTGTGTTATGCATCCGTTTGAGAGTGGTACCCATATGTCATCTGCTCAAAAATTGAACATGCTGTTAAGTTTTCATTGCATCATTGTACATATATCATTGTATCTTATTGCATTCTACCCTCCATAGAAGGATGCTTCAGAACCTGACTGAAATCAGTGTGTTAGGAATGATATAATGCTTATGGAGTGTGCAGAAATAACCCATCTGATGGGTTTTGGTGGTGGTGGTGTGAAACTAATCAAATGACGTGTAGAAGACCATCTCTATACACTGTTGTCCAAACATATGGAACACATCTGTCGGTATGTCTCATTCTGAGAACTCAGATAGGTCAACTCAGAAAATCATAGGACTGCTCCACACTCAATATACCATCAAAGGTTTTAATATATTTTTCTTCTATGTGATGTTTAAACTCTCAGTCTCCACAACTAGCTTTCATAGATATTGCCTATGGGTTTTTCTGAGAGAAAGACAAGCTGCCAGGAGAAATGTTACCTACACTTCTCTCTCTCTCTCTCTCTCTCTCTCTCTCTCTCTCTCTCTCTCTCTTTCTCCCTGCCTCTCCCCTCCCTGCCCAATTTTTCAGAGCACTTTGTGAACAGTCAAAGGAACGATGTGAGTCCATTCTTGGAATTGTAGGCTTACAATGGCCAGAAGACACAGATTGTTCTCAGTTCCCAGAAGAAAACTTAGACAACCATATTTGCCTAACACCTGATGAAGACGTAGAAGGTTTCTTAATTTTCAGAACTCTAAAACTGAACATTGAATATTTTAGTTTTTTGGGGTAGCATTTCATCAGTTGATATTTAAACTTCCTGCTCCAGTCAATTTATATGTAAAACAAGTGAATGAAAGGAAGACTGATACATTCATCACAGGGGAAATAGGAATTTATTTTAAAGTGTCAACTGAAGGATGGAATTACTGGATTTTAGGAGTGCAAATTGTAGTTAGAGTAAAAAGTAACTGTCAGGATAAATGCACTAGAACAGCGCCAAAATGCTTTGATATGGATAAAACATTCTTGAGGTGGAAAATTGCCACATGGTTTGTTAATATTATTGAACACAATCAAAGCAACTCAAACAAAAAGTCGGATCAAAGAGCAAAATGATTTCCCCATTCGTCCTCTGTAGAAAGCCTCAGTGAAAGGAATGGGGGTCATGCAAATACATGGTAATGCATTTGCTGTACTACCATGCAAAGGTGGTGCTAAGTATCTAAAAGACTTGGGACTCAGGCCCATAGAGATAAGAATTGCAGAGATATGCAAATCTGTGTTCATAACTAGAAATAATTACAATAATTTAAATTTTATAGAAGGCAAGCTGATTAACCTCTTGCTTTCAGGACAGAACAGCAATGTTCCAAGTTGTGTGACTGCACTTGGAATATTCAGTCCTGATCACCTTACTTGAAAAAAGTGCATTTTTTAACATTAGAAAAGTACAGAGAAGGGCAAAATATGATCAGTGGGCTGGAGCAGCTCCCCTGTGAGGAGCCACTATGACAGCTGGGACTGTTCAGCTGAGTAAGGGGAGACATGGTACAGTTGTTTTTTGCATGGTGTGGTGCATGTGGAGAGGGTGATATTTTATCCCCCTCCTATAACACTTAAACCTGGGGTCATTCCATGCAGCTGACTGGTGGCAGGTTTAGAAGAAATAAAAGGAAGTCCTTCTTCACACAGCGTAGTTAAGCCATGGGAAGTGGGGATGGCCACCAATCCAGATGGCTTTAAAAAGGGATTAGACAGATTCATGGAGGAGGAGGCTATCAGTGGCTACTAGCTTTGCTGACTGCGTGTCACCTCCTTTACCAGAGATTGCATGGCTGCATGCATCAATTGCTGAGAAGCTATTGGAAGGAGGTTTTGCACACTCCTGCTTCAGGGACCCATGGGCAGCTGGTTCGCCACCATGTGCAAGGACTGCTGACTTTTCTTATGTTCTTATGCTGTGCTTGTTTAAAACAGAATAATAACAGATTGAACATGACATACTGGCAAGGGGTGGGGGTTGTATTATAGACTATAATGCATGCTTTTAGGCAGCAAATTTACTCAGCTACTAAGGAGTAAGCACCATTAAACTGGATTTGCTTCTGAGTAGTTCCTCACTTGTGCCTCCCAAATCCCCGTCACCAAAAGCACCAGATGAAAGCTTAAAAGTTGAACCAGGACCTGCTCTGATGTGTCTGGACCCTGTGCAAGGAAGCAGAGAGAGAGAGAGAGAGAGAGAGAGAGAGAGAGAGAGAGAGAGAGAGGATCACATCATCAGTCACCAGCCAGCATAGCAAGATCAGAGAAAGAGCCCAGGACTGGAGCACAGTGCTTTGCTGTTCATGGCCACTAGATCAGGCAAGATAGTAGCCAAAAGCATAAAAAAGGCTTCCCATTATTATTAACTCTTTATTATTTTAAGTTTCTGGATTCTAGAGTACTTTTTATGCAATTCTTGATTTCCAACTCTTGTAATCCTACAAACTACACCAAATATTGTAGTATTAAATTTCTAGCAAGCACATCACCACAGGGCTCTTAAAGTACCAAAATGCATAATTGGATACCTTATCGGAACCAACTCAAGCTTATAATAAAGGTTTTGCCCAATAATAAATAAATAAAATTTTTGAATTTTTTTTCTCCCCTCATCAGCAATGCAACTTTGTTTTTAATTGTTTGCTTTGCAAATTGCTAATGTTTATGATCCCCACATCACTCTAGATCTAGATATTAGAACTATGTTCAAGGTGGATAAGGCAGATTTGCAGCTCTGAGCACATTTACTGCTGTGTCGCAGGCTATATGTTCTGAATTAAGTGGATGGATTCATATATACTTATTCCTCTTCAAAGTTCTAAAAAAGGCCATTATACAAAATTAGATTTTTCAGTAGATACTGCCCCACACAAGGCCATCCAGGAACCTTCCTTTCATTAATAACTGGGACAGTTTAGTTCTTTAAAATGCATTTCTTTTTAATCAGTTAGATGATAAATGCATACACATTCTTAGGACAGTTTTTACAAGTGGTGTGTGGTTTTTTTGTTAAGGCAAAAAGATTTTTTGAAGAATAGGCTGACAGCTGAGCCCCTATTTGAGTTGTTGATATGCATGCCTGTCATTTTAGTTTCAAAGCTAGGAGGAAGCTGGGCTCACCCCTTGGTTGAAGAGCATGCTGTGAGATCTTTTTCTCTTGCAGCCCTTTTAACTCATTAGATTTTGTAACTTTCCTGGCAGAGTGCTCACCCAGCCATTTCAAATGCCGTTCAGGAAGGTGTGTCTTGGCTTCCAGAAGATGCGATGGGCAGGCAGACTGTGAAGATGACAGTGATGAAGAGAACTGTGGTAAGTGAACTAGCCAAGACTGCAAAGGAGATGGGCATCAAAGACAATCAGTGGTTGTGTTTCTACATAGTGCTGAGCTATGGTTTATATTAACCACTTAGCCATGAATTCTTCCGGAGCAAGCAAACAATGGATTGCATTCCGTATTTCACGTTCTTCTGCCCATTTTGCCAGCTTTCAGAATGGTTTCATTGTCAAACTTTTCTTGCCGAGCACCTCTGCACAGATAAATCTCAGCTCTGGGTTGGTTCATGGTCTAAGCAACCCAGATTTTCCAACACAACAACAAAGCATCATTTCCATTTGTAGTTTGTGCCTGGTTAAAAAACATATTTTGTTTCCAGGAATGGTTTCACATAGATGGCAAGTCAAATACCAGCAAACCAGGCCATGACTTAGCATTATGTGTAAGTCAGCCTGGTGGTTATTAACCAATGCTACTGTATCTTCTCTGGCTTGTAATTAAAATGAAGCTATAGATAAAGCAAAAAAAATGATAAAGGTGCAGAAGAATAAAACATATTTCACATGCTGTTCAGCTCAGGAAGACAAGCTTTTAAAATCTCATCGGTACCCCATGTTTTCTCTGAAGAGCACAGGGGTGGTATACATGGAAAGTCTATCATTTTATCTCCGCAGTAATCCTTTTAAGGCAGATTAGCTTGACAGAAAGTGACTTGTCAAGGTGACCGTGGGAACCTCCTGGCTGGTCTATCACTTGAAAGCAGACCTCCCCAGCCTGAACTCAACACCTTGTGGATACAGAGAGATGGGTGGTCTAATGCATTTTCTCTTTTCCCTAAACTAAATTTAGTGCTGAAATGACTGTTTATCTTGTAGGATGGAGGCAATTTCTACCTGGAAAAGGAAACGCAGGAAAGGTTTAAACCTCTTTCTTCCTGTGCTGCAGCCTGAGTAAAGGCTAGGGATGGGCGAGGTTGTTGAGCTTACTTTTTGTTCAGTTTCACTCCTTCCGTATTAAGTTTGTTCTGTCTCGTTTTTGCCCCAGCGGTTTAGGAAATTGTAATATTTTGTATGCATTTCCCAAAACAAATGTTCTTCTGTAGGCACTTTTCTAAATAGACACATTTCTTGCAAGCAGGTTTTTTTTTTTTTTTTGCTAAAATATATAAAGAGGGAGAAAAAGAGAGAGTACATACCCCTAATATATATGTTTTGCATATGTTTAAATTTTACAAAACTGCATCACAAAATCCTTAACAGCTTAAATATTGCTGCATCACTGCTGTTTCTGTATAAGTTCAAGCAACTTGAATTTGCTATGTTTGCATTAAAATGTGGACAACATTTCTCACACATCCCTAAAGGCCACCTACAGCTGTTCTGCACTGTGGAAATAACTGCAAGAGATCCAGTCAGGAGATTCATTCCTGATTCTTTCATGTAGACTGGCTGTCTTACATGAGAAAACATCCCATTATATGAATACTGGGATAAAATTGAGTAGGAAACAAAAGATGATACTTTGCATTTCTTGTTCTACTTTTTTTATAATAAGTTTTATTCAAAATAACCCTAATACAAAGAAAAAGTAAAAACAACATCAGTCATCAGAAACATCGGACCTGCTGGGTCAGCCCCCACATTTTTTCTATTTATGATAACTTAAAGACATAGTTAAATCTATACGAAGTCCTGTTTCTCTAGCCAATAATAAAAAGAGTCCCAAGTTTGATAGAAATTGTTCTACTTTTTTTTAAAGAAAAGGGATTAAAAAAACCTCCATCTTTCTCTGCAAAACATATACATCTATTGTGTTGCACTTACAGGAACATAATTAAGAGGCACATTTTTCCTGCACTTTCAGCTATATGACTTTTAAGGTATGAAATTCTGTTTGGTATACAAGGTGGAGTATCTTTAATATAGAATTGTCCTTCCTTTCTTCGTGTCTCTAAGACAAGGGCTTGTAGTGGTCAACAGAATTCTTATCAGCTTCTATAAATATGGGAGATTGCATCTGCTAGAAAATGACAGCAGTCAGAATGTCATTTCTTTGACCAGAGCTAATGTTAATGAAGACAAACCAATGCTTTTAATGTTCTAGAAAGCTGCTTTGCCCTCATTCACATTTTTTTCTTTTTTAAACAAAGGGGAAAATTCAAAGGTCCCTGTGCCTTATTTGTATAGATGACATTGTGTAGAAGGGCACAATCTGCAGAAAAGCCAGTGCACTAAAATCTCCTTGAAATAAAAGAAGTATTGGTAAAGAATGCAGAACAGATTGTTGCAAAGCATCATACAACTACACACTGCTGCTGTATTAGTGAGAAGCCAAGAAACTACTGTCAGTGAGACTTCTCATCCATTGCAGCTTTTATTTTGAGCTGTATCCAAGGTGATGAACTGTACTTTGGTTTACTAGCTATAGGTTTATCAAGGGTCAACAAATTTGCATTCAGGAACGCATGCATTATATTGCTATCTCTTACATTTAGTTAAGCTGTGATACCATAATCAAGGAACCTGTCTATTGTTGGTATTTATTTGAATCAGACCTTCAGAAATATAATCCTTCATCACAATAACAACTCCTCTTTTATCAGTCAATTTTATGGGTTTTCTGATTCAAAGTTGATTGAGGGTGTCTCTTTCTTTAGCATGGAATATATTGTGAATATATCCTATCAATCTTACATATTTTAAGACTGAGTGTATCCATAATGGATCTAGCACCTCATTGTTTTGCTGCTGTGTTGCTTTACACCCTCCTGCCTCCCTTGATTGCACACAAATACCGATGTTCTGCTTAAGTGAAGCAGCCCTTTCATACATCCCAGTATTGAAAAAAGGCACCCAATCTGTATACATTCTGTAGAAAGATAAATATTTTATAGAACTGGGCTGTGGCTTAATTTCCTCCATATGACAAACTAAGAATTTAATACTGAAAGAATGACACGGTTATACAAGAGTTCATCTTGAATATATTATAAAAGCAGTCCAGCTGAATAAAGACACTTGGAGGAGACAGAGGCTGTGCTCACTGAATAATGATGAAGCCCTGGAAAGGTGCATATCATTGTCAGAAAGCTGACATTTCTCCAATTTTACTGTGTACATCCTTATGTGTTGCTTCAGGCTTCTAAGTTATTTCCTCCTACCCCTTCTTTCTGTTTTTAAAATTCTAATTGAAAGAATTCTAGGTGTTCAGTTAAAAATACATGGTATTGATTGGCTTGTTAATACAAAATTAGGTCTTATTTCTTTCAGTGGGAGAATTAAACACATCCACAGCTTTCCCACTCAAATGAATAAGAACTGTTTAACTTTGGTGAGCCCAGTTTCCACAAAATTCCATGGTAGTTACCAAGGAAACAAGGATTCTTTTGGTACATAGGGTTTTGCAAATTTAAGTTATCCAGTGGATCTCTCTCTCTCTCTGTGTTTGTACACAAGCCTCAAATTTTAAATCAACTGCCAGAGAATTCAAAGGCTGCCTGGACACATGCATGTTTTGGGCATTCACTGTGGGATTTGTTGCAGGAAGTGTAAGATATTCTATGTTATACTGATATTCTTGGAAGTTTTTTTTAACTTCTTCAGAAAATTTTTCCAGTATTTACAGTGCTCTGGGAAATGCCTTCCACTGGAACCTACAGAAACTTCCATGGAAACCTTATGAAATAATTATGTTTATGATACAGGGATGTGGAGTGGAGGGAATAATTATTATTGAAATTTCTTCCACTGGCACCAGGCTAAGTCTGGATTTAATTCATTATCAGTGTTACCACTGATAAGTTTGAATTCGCTAGTTATTTTATGGAGCATTTCCAAATCCTGTCATTTCATGAAAACCTTTAAAATATGTGACCCTTAAGTTGAAAAGCTCCCAGTTTGGTCAACATTATATATATATAATAAAGTTGTTAAAAACTACAGTGAACAACAAAGGCAAAAATGCTTATTCTTCTTGTGGCACATTTAGGCTTTTTGTATGACATTATTATCAGCAATCAGAATATCTATTATGTTGAGATGCAGTTTAGTTAAAGAGAATTGCATGATTGAGGTAAATCTTATGCACACTTATTTGGGAATGAGCATCATGGGACAAAGTAGGACTTGAATGAGAGTAAACATGCAAAGGAATATGGGGTTAGGGCAGTTTGTCTATCTTGTTCTATTCTGTTCTGCATTTAGTTAGCAATGTATTTTAACTATGTGATTTAAATATTTGAAGTGCTATAAGTATCTTTATGATATACATCTTTATGATACACATAATTTCTTTCTTTTTTTCTTTATTACTTTTGTATACCGTCCCATCACAGACGTCTCAGGATGGTTATATTATGAAGACAATGTATTATTTGTTCAAAGGCTGTGGGGGATATATATTTCATGCACTGTACTTTAGTTATCTTTCTTTCTCATTTGTTAAGCCTTTCATAATGAGACACTCTGACTGATTTGTTATTGATGTGACATAGCTGTAATGCCCTTTATTTCTTGTCTCTAGGTTGCAAAGAAAGAGGTCTTTGGGAATGTCCCTCAAGCAAGCTCTGTATCAAACATGCAATGATATGTGATGGTTTTCCAGACTGTCCTGGCGGTATGGATGAAACAAATTGCTGTAAGTGCTTTATACGGCAATGCCTGAATTACATCCTTAACATCAGAATGCTAATACTAAAAGGGGCAAGGATACATTGCCCCTTCTAGTCCAATTATTTTCATTTTATCTTTTGTCTCCTTTCATTTCCTCTTCTGTAATAGGTATCCTCCTCCTGTACCTCCCATTCCTCTTTCTTATGATGATCTTTTCTCTGAATGTGTCCATCCTGTTCTCATTCTTATTCCCTTCCTCTTTTTTCTTTCTCTACTATCCTCCCTCTCTTATGTGTCCTGATATTCCCTTTCATGGCATACTTTCATCCGAATATCAATTATTTCCAATAGACTTGCTGTTCCTCTTGTCATTCTTCATCCCCTCTCCCCCACAATATGAGGGCACGGACACATTCGGCCAAACCTTGCTTTATCACTGAGGGGTAGAACTTTGCTTTAGTAGCAGCACCATCACCATCTTCTGCTGCTGCTTCTTTTTAACATGGTAGAGAAAAGAGGAAAAAATGAAAGCAGAGCTCTAGATGCTGAATTTAATACCAGAGTACTGAGTGTGTGCCTGCATCCAAATCAATGAATAGATCTTTCAAAAATAGCCCTTAATTCTGTGTGCTATTAGTGAGAGATCTGATGCTAATCGTGCACCAAGCAAACAATGCTCAGGTTTTTCTTAATTTTCTGATAGTCACCAATTAATGTTCTGTTTCATATATTCAACAGATTACTAAGTCAGAAAGAGAAGAGGTGTCCTCTGTTTCTTTTTCTTTAAAGTATATGTCAGTATTATATTTTGATTATAATTATGTGCAATAGGTTAATTCATTCTGGATGATTATTTAAAGCCTCGAAAACAGGCTGAGAAGGGAACTGTCATCCTAAACACTTACAATCTATAAGTGTAGCCAACATCTACACTAATATAAACATATTTATCAAATGATGGTTGCCAAGTGTGCGCCAGTCGCTTCCACATTGCAGCTGTCCTATATATACAGTGGAAGACACAGTAGGTATATTAAATACATCGCTGAGATTCTAGAATTGAGGGGACCCTCATTTTACCATAGCTGTGGATGAAACAGAGCAGTTGGTCATCACTGGTGTGGAGGATATTACTGCCTTCCCAGCCTTAACTGAAAAGACCACCATGGAAATGACTTTGCACAAACACCAAAAAAGTAGGAATTCAGCCAGGAGGGTGGAACCTGTGGTTCAGTGGCAGTGGTGTATTCAACCTCAGAAAGGGTGCGAGTGTTTGGCTGTCTAGACAGAGTCTAGATTGTAGTAGAAGAATATAGCATTTATCTCCACCCTTACAAACTTGCTGTAAGGACAGAGCTGGGATTCTGAAAGATCCATGTGAGAGTGACTTCAGGGATGGTGTTTCTGGGTATTTTGGGCACAGGGAGGAGACTCTGCCAACATATGTAGTACCCTGGCAGCACCTCAGCCTCCCTCCTTGTACTGAAGGGCAAAAAACTTAGATAGACAATTTCTTTTGCCAGGGTGGGAGGAGAACAGTGGTGATCTTTGTACTTGTGCTCTTCCCATTCCCCATAGGATGCCTGTAATTCTCCGAGTTCAGAAGGTTATAGGCAATCACACTGGCTTGTCTTACCCACCAGTAAATTATTAAGTTCTTGTGGGCAAACAACAGGGACAGTACTGACTTCAAGCCTTTCTTCTGGATTTCCTGGAAACTTTGGTTTGGTCACTGATGGAAACAGGATGTTAGACTAGATATACCTTTGTTCTGATTCAGTTCTTTGTTTCTTATAGTTAATTTATGGACCTTTATTCCAACTGTGTAACTTATACCAATTGTAGAACTTGTTTTTCAACTCACAAAATTTGGCATTTTTAGAAAAGAATAATCTATTGTGCTGTTGCAGTACAACCCAATACATTCATATACCAAATGCTTTTTCACAAATGATACTAAGTGCAGAATTCAAATGTGTGTATCTATCCCTGCCAGTTCTCTTCTGCCCTGCCAATTGTTTTGCACAAGCAGCCTCTACCACTTCTGTAGTGGCTCTTTAGGGAGTTTTGCTGACTTGCTTCTTTCCCGAAATTAGAGTCTCCACTTGTTGCACAGCTTCTTCTAGGAACTGCTAAATCTTCCTTGCATAAGCAGTGGGTCCCACTGGCACAATGGAATTGTTAGAAACAATTGGAATTGGCAAGAAGGAATTGGCAGGGATGTAAGAGGCCCCTTGGATTCCACCCTAAAACACATGTAAGATTTATGTATTTTGCAATGGAAGCCTACTCTTAGAAATTGAATCTACATTCTAGTCAATGTATAATTTTCATTATATTAACTTACCCCACAAATGCTGAACTGAATTTAAGCAACAGTTATGAAAGTAATCTAGGCCTTCTTTTATGTATTTCTTGGTTCTTTTGCTTCTTAAGGGGGCAGTTCTCTAAAAGAAGCTTGAGTGGTCCTTTCCCATGCTTTTGATATTTGTTTAGCAGTCACCCGTGATGCAGTTCCAAAGTCTCTCTTCAAACTGTTATGCTCTTTTGACTTTTTATTTAAGTTTAGTTTTGCTTTCTATCCCCACTCTTGTTTTTCTATGCCATTTAAAGCATCCTTAGTTCATGGATTTGCAATGGCTTTATTGTGGGTTATTTGATGTTAATTGCATGTTAACATTTAAAAGAGGTCTGGTCAGTTTATCTGGCCTGGATGCCTCAGAAAGAATTCAAATGAAAGAGGGAGATTATGTACCATTTTCCTTTCATTTCCTTGTGTGCAGTTGCTTATTTTGAAAGTTTTGGATTGGAACCATAACTGGGAAGATGTAAATAAGATAAAAGAGAATCATTTGTTCTCTTCCATGACAAATCATAGAGCAGAATCAGATGAATACTTTTTCCTGCCAGCACTGAGTGCCAGTTTTCACAGCACAGCAATATGAGGGGGATAGCACTTGTTGAACTGCACAACTCAAAACCTTTGGACAAGCAACAGTAGCCAAAGAACTTAGCACTTATTAGACATCTTCAGGAAAACTCATTCTCCTAGGATCTCATCACAGAGAAATTTCATTGTGGATCATTTATATACTGTATTTGGAATATCCAAATATTTCATGCTTAATTTATTAATGCAATGATGGAGTTAACAAATGATTTTTAGGTATAGTATCTCACTTTTTGAATCACATTCAGATGTTTATTATTTTTATTATTTGAGCAATAGAAAAGTCCCTTGATCAGGTAAACATGCCAGAAATTAAAACAAACTGCTTGATGTTAATTTTAGAGTATAGAGTTTATCTATAAGGAAACTTACTCAGCATAAACTGTCATCACTCTCCTATCCCCATTTCCACAAAGAAGCTATAGCTTCTCCAGTTCATTTTTCTCAAAAGCATTACTATGTCAGTCTTAAAGATTCTTCTCTCCTGATTTGCTATTTTCATGTCAGCATTTTGCAGAAAGGATGAGATTACATGTGCCAACCATGACTGTGTGCCTCGTAAATGCTGGTGCGATGGGCAGATAGACTGTGCCGACAAATCAGATGAATGGAACTGTGGTAAGTGTTAGCATCTTCAAAAGCATAAAAACCCGGGAAACATTTTAAGCAAATGCTTGAGGTATTTGGCTGATTCTGGAAATGAGCAAAGGAAGATGTGGTAGTCCTGAAACATTGGCCATTACCTCTTTCTGCCTTCCTGGATGAAAAGCTAAGTCCTTCTAATGCGTATAGAAAATACCTACTTTTATATACGTATCACTGGAACAAATTCTCATAGCAGGGCTTTTAAAAGTAAAAACAAAATAAAAGTCCCAGAACTAGTCACATTTACATAGGATATAGCAGTATTGAAGGAGATGGTATGGTACCATGATTCATATTTCCTTTCTCCGCAAGCAAATTATTGGATCCAGTGGTAAACAAATACTACTGAACCCAGTAAATTTTGGGCATATGTTATATATTGAATATAAGATAGATATCTGTCTGGTGCTTTATTGAATGAAAACAGACAAGATATTTTTGTATTACAATGGGAATGCTATTTGCTAATCTTTACAATAAAATCCTGATGGAGGAAACCATCAGTCAGTTATTTCTCTTCTTGTGAGGAACCAAAGGTAACTTACATGATGCTTGACCAGAGGCTTATGTGAGGTCGATTAGGGTAGGAATGAGTCACTGATCCAACTAGTCAGCTTCATGGCTGAGTGGAGACTAGAACTTGGATCTCCCAGGTCCCCAGTCAAATATTCTAATTATCACACCACATTAGCTACTTTAGAAATATGCCTCTGGTCAACAAGAACATGGATGGAACCATACCTTGAGCTCAATTTCTCTGTTTTCATGATTATATGTGTAGAAGCTAATGAGTCATTAACTGGACTCTAAGTCATGCAATTTTCTTGCATGCCTAGCAATAAGGGCTTGCATTAAAGCCCAACTTCAGTGACTATCTTGTAAGACCCTTCAAGCTAGTCCAGATTTTTGAAAAATGTGCAGATACAATTTTCTCTTCTCATGTTCTGCAAGCCAAGCTATCCCAACCTGAGCAAATGGGCTCATTGCATTCAACCTCCATCATCAATTTTCACTGTGTGATAATATGGGTTGAATTCACTCTGAGTACTTTTCATTGTTCACACATTGGTAAACCATTCCTCAAGTGGTTACATCCTCCTCTAAGCCATCTTTTATCTCCTGTTGGCATATTAAAGTTAGATTTCCATTTTTTTTCACAGTGTCCATGTCTGAAAACAAGAGTTCCTTGATGTTCTTAATGGTTCACAGGTCAGCTATCAAGTACCATGTCTGTGCTGATGAATGGGAAGAAAATTTAAGCTATTTGGCATGCAAACAAATGGGTTTAGGGTAAGGTCAGTAGTTTGTAGCAATGATAAAATGTTCTGACTTGTAACTATGAATGGGTTGAATCTATAACATTTTTGTAGTCTGCAGACATGATACCTTTAGTTTGCTACCTCTGCTAGCAGAGTGCACCTCTCTGATGTTCTGTACTGCATGTGGGTCTTTGGTTCATCATATTCAACCAAGTACCTAGTAAATTGGTTAGGGTTATTGGTTAGGATAATTCTGCAAATAATTTGTTTCCTGTGAAATAGTTGCAGATGTCTCCCTTTAACTTCAGTGTGCTCAAGCAGTTAACTTACCTGTTACAGAATCATTTGTTTCTCCTGTTCCTCTGTGTTTTTCAAGCATGGTCATCACTTTTTAGAACTGAGGATCTAAGGGTCTGGAATTGCTCTTGGATTTGTATCTTCCTCAGACCGTTAACAATGTAGACTAGCAAAAGGAAAAAAAATAAGAGACTTTCCAAATCAAAGAACATATTAAAATACATATAAAATACATATATGTATACATATACATATATTTCAACTAGGAAAATATAAATATTTTTGTTACAAGTACCTGCCTATTTAACTTATATGCAGAGCACATCATGAGAAAGGCGGGACTAGATGAATCACCAGTTGGAATTAAGATTGCCGGGAGAAATATCAACAACTTCAGATATGCAGATAATACCACTCTCATGGCAGAAAGTGAAGAGGAACTAAAGAGCCTCTTGATGTGGGTGAAGGAGGAGAGTGCAAAAGTTGGCTTGAAACTCAACATTAAGACAACTAAGATCATGGCATCCGGTCCTCTCACGTCCTGGCAAATAGATGGGGAAGAAATGGAGGTAGTGACAGATTTTATTTTCCTGGGCTCCAAGATCACCACAGACGGGGACTGCAGCGAAGAAATTAAAAAGACGCTTTCTCCTGGGGAGGAAAGCTATGGCAAATCTAGATAGCATATTAAAAAGCAGAGACATCACCCTGCCAACAAAAGTGCGTATAGTCAAGGCTATGGTTTTCCCAGTTGCAGTGTATGGTTGTGAAGGCTGGACCATAAGGAAGGCTGAGCACCGAAGGATTGAGGCCTTTGAATTGTGGTGCTGGAGGAGACTCCTGCGAGTCCCTTGGACCGCAAGGTGATCAAACCTGTCAGCCCTACAGATCAACCCTGACTGCTCTTTAGAAGGCCAGATACTGAAGATGATACTCACATACTTTGGCCACCTAATGAGAAGGAAGGACTCCCTGGAGAAGAGCCTAATGCTGGGAACAATTGATGGCAGAAGAAGGGGACAGCAGAGGATGAGGTGGCTAGATGGAGTCACTGAAGCAGTTGGTGTGAGCTTGAGTGAACTCCGGGGGATGGTGGAGGACAGGAAGGCCTGGAGGAATGTTGTCCATGGGGTTGCAATGGGTCGGACACGACTTCGTGACTAACAACAACAACTAACTCACATTTGTTATCAAAAGGATAATTATCTTAGCATCTCTAGAGTCAACTCCCACTGGGGTTTATGCAGGCAAATGACTATCGCAAAGGAGTTAAGGTTTATCTAGACAAGTATTTCTCATAGAAGTAGTTCAAGCTGGAAGCAAAAGGAAGCTCTCTTTGTCCCAGAACACTGATAAGTACGGGGAGTCAGTTACATTGGTTCCATTGCCTATTAGTTTTCTGGAATGATAGGGCATGGTATTCTGAAATACTCCTTTGCTTAGAGAATCTGAAGAAGTGGCTAAATATGTAATTTGTCTAATCTTGATTAGATGACAGAACTAATTTCTTCAAGGCTGCTTACTCTTTTATACCAGAGCACTCCTCCTCCTCTTCCCAGCTTTTCATAACTCAAAATCTTTGTTTGCCTTCTTATTTTAAAAATTATTTACTGTTTTTCTGTACAGTATAATTCACTAAAATGTATTCTAGAAACAGCAACACTAAACAAGAAAACCCCATAACACAGCGCCCCAAAACCCAAAGGACATGTGTACATTGGCAACAAAAGTAAATATCTAAGTAAATATGCCTCACCAAAGCTGGTGAACCAAAGCAGTTTTTAGTAGCTGCATAAAGATATAAAGCAGCTTGGCATAGTAAGCTCTCTGAGGAAGGCATTTCTCAATATCAGCATCACCACAGAGTTTTTCCCTATTCCAGGCAAGTGCAGATCTTACCATATGTGCAAAATTCAATGTAAGCCTCTTCAGAACATTTCAGTAACTGGAGAAGTTCACATGATTTTGCTTGTCTTTCCTCTCTATGAAAAAAATATCTTCAAAGGGGCGCAGACTGATGTTGGGCTCACCAAACCTATTCTCTGTCTCTCTCCTGCCCCTGCCTCTAGTTGTGCAAAAAATTTATGGCAGGCATCCAGTCACATCTTCATAAGAGCTTCAACCCTCCCCCCATATCCAAATGTAGACATCTTTGGAAAGTTTGGTCCCATGTTTAATTCTATTTAATTCTGGGAATACTGCTGCCGCTGCTGCTCCCGCCCCCTCAGCAAACCGTGCAAGTGGCCGTAAGTCCTGGTCTTGTGCCGCCTGGCAAGGCGAGTGGCACGGCCATCTTCCAGATGTTCCTGCTGATCGTAGCGTCTTGTCAGGTGGTTCAAGACCAGAGCCAAGCAGCTTAGGGCCACTTGTATGGTGCACTGAGAGGGTGGTGGCAGCAGCCGTTATTCTCAGAGCTGCATATAAGGGCAGTGATTTGCATTCAGTTTGCATTCAATTTGCATTCTTCCCACTTGCTCAGGGCTGTTGCTGCCACCAGGGGGACTGAACCGATAGCAGGAGGTGGAAAAGAGCTCTGGTGTCACATAAAATACAATCGTTGTCACAGTGTTGGATATCACTGGAAAAAGAATATCTGTCTCGTATGTTACAGATGAGTAAATTGTTACTCATATTTTCTACCACATATTTGTGTGAAAAGAGTTTTTCAGCCCTGTCACAGATAAAAACTAAAATAGAAAAGAAATAGAAAAGATGTCAGTGCTGTGCTTTGTCTCTCAGAAACAGCACTGCAGCCACCACTATCATGAAAAGAAGCAACAGCAGATTTCAGATTTAGCCTTATATGAATTGAATATTGTTGTCTAAACATTTCAGTTGTATTTGATTGCATTTAATTTCAATATTTTATTCTTTTATTAGCATTTTTATTGCTCAGTTTCTGGTTATTTTAGAGAGTTATCATTTTTGGTATTATATTTAAAAAACAGTACACAAAACACTATATTATGTATATAATGCTTTTTGTTTCTGCCTCAGCCATCCCTGAAAACAATTTCCTATTTTTGCCAGTCCTTGGCAGTAAAATGGTTGAGAACCACTGGTCTAGAGGGAGAAGAGGGGTGAGTGTACTCCCTCAGAAGATCTGAAAAGATAGGAGTGATCATGAGTTACTCTTCTCCACAGTGCAATATAATCCCAATGTATTTTGTTACAGTGCATGGTACATGTAAGTAGCTCTGCAACACCATGAACTTTCTCTACTGGTTACACTGATTTCTTTTCAGATGTAAATTTGTTTTAGAATAAGAATTGGGCTGTAACCAACAAAAGACCTAGCAACTTCAGTATTCTGTTCCCACAGTGGTTAACCAGATGCCAAAGGGAAGATGAATGGCAGATTCTTTCCTGTGCTGCTCATGCTGGTCATATGCTAGGGGGATTCACATAATTACTCTTTGTGATACAGCTTGCTCTGTTGTGAACTCGGTAAGGGTGGCTAGTTGCAGTGGTTAATAGCCCACCTCATAACCCTACCACAGCCTATGGGATCTGTATGGCTTGATAACCATGGCAAGAAGCCAACCTCACCAGATTTGCAAGGCATGTGCAGTAGGTGAGGTAAGACATGGTGCCTTATTTCATCTTCTACGATCATGTCAACAGATGCAATGATTTGTTATTCTCCATGCATTTGTCTAATCCCCTTTAAAAACTATCCAAGTTTTACAACTTGCAGAAACAAATCTCATAGTATAACCACACTCAATGTGAAGAAATGTTTCCTTTTATTTTTCTGGAGTTTTCCATCATTCAGTTTCATATGATGACCCTAGATTCAAGCATTATGAGGCTATGAACAGTGATTCATGGATGCGCCCAGAGGGCAAGTTTATAAAATTAATACTTTTGTTGCATACTTTAATTAGTAGATCAATAGACTAAACAGTAGTTGATTGATTGGTTGGAGCTTGCAAGTGAAAGACATACTTGTTTATACTCTGGGAGAGTTTTGGTATATATACTATGTATATACTATAAGGGATGGAAAAAAGAAAATAGTAACTTTTCTTTCTCACAATGAGCCGTAAGTGTGTGTTATTAAATTGTAAATAATCGCACCCTTTCTTCAGTATTGCAGAAAGGATTGCAGTAGTGAGGTTTTGGAATAAGGCAATTATCTATAGTTAATCCATCAATTAAAAGGCAGATGATTAACCAACTAAAAATTATTTGATCATTTGGCAGGTCTGTTCAGGAAAATTTTTCAGCTAGCATTTTATGAGAATTCTGTTGGAAACAGAATTTAAACATCATCCAAGTTTATCTTTGGGTCATTAGATTTAGTTTCGTTTGGTTGTGTTTGATGAAGTGAGCAAGTGATTCATGTTCAACATAAATAAAATGTTCTTCTAATGTTAGACTCATCCATATGTTTGAAGTTATGGTATGCTTTTTGTAAATTTAACCTCTGAAGCAGCTGGGAAGCCAGAAAAGACATTTTTTGCTTCCTGCATAAAACTTGGGCTGCACTTCTTGTAAACCAAATTCCTGAATTACTACTACTACTGATACGATATTGTTGTTGTTGTGTTAACCATAGTTTGTTATGGCATAGAAAATACATTGAGAACTTTGTTACAGAAAACTTTTTTATACTAGGTGAGGTTATTTTTGATTTACCACTGTTCAAACTAAGCAAGAAGTTTTGAGAGTGTTTTCTTCTCTTTTCTCAGTAGAGAAAATGCCTTTCCTCTGGCAGGATATGAAAGACTG